CCCCCCCACCTCCCCTTCATGATTCACAGCATTGCTGGCTGTGCCAGTGTACTGCTAGATTTCCAGCATCTAAAGCTTCTCTTAAATTTTTGTAGTTCATGTGAGTTTAAAATTTTGGTGGGCTCTAGAAACCCAGTTTTTTTCTTTCTGAAAGAAAACCCAAATTGTCACCTTCTATTATTATTTCGAATTTAACCTTGAAAGGGATAATAGAGTCAACTGATATATGTATAGAACAAGTATGGGATTCTTTGGGTACGAGAAGCTGTCAAAATAATTCTTTTAACTGAAAGAGGTCCGTGGTTGCCTCTCATCACTGAAATGGAACAGATTACTATCATTTTATGAGAGAATGATCCAATAGATGATTAGTTTTGAGATTTTAGGGATTTGGGGTTTGAGTTTTAACCGTCTTAGTTTGTAACAGCACTGGCCTTGTAGGAATTATGAAATTGAATGGACATTAAAAGAATTAGTGTCGTATCATATAATCTGCATTTCTAGGTTGTGGCTTCTCTTTGGGTAGTGGCTCTGCTGCTAGAAACAAGTTTGAATTCATAGTTTGAATTCATATGGTGTTTAATTATCTGTTTCCAATTCAAAATGTAACTTGTGGGTACAAACTATAGACAAAGAGAAGTGAAACTCGAAGACATAGTTTAATCCTTAGAATTGAAAGTTTGATTTTGTTACCATTTGACTGTTTTGTGGTATTCTTCTATTTCAGGAAGACCAACTCGTTTGATAATTTCTGCGAAGGCCACTGGTGAAAGCTTAGAATCTTCTACCTCTTCAATTGATTTCAAATCAATACAAAATGCTGTGAGTACCTAGCTATGTTATCAGCCTTTACTTTTCCACACCCTTACTCAGCTGATACACCATTTATTATTTGCAGTAACCATTGTTATCTTATTTAATTGTTGATCCAGTGGGATAAATCAGAAGACCGTATTGGTCTGATTGGATTGGGATTAGCTGGTATTGTTGGTCTTTGGGCATCAGTAAATCTTATTGTGGTAATTCTTAGATGCCATACTTCCTATGATAATATTTTTTTTTACTTTCTCACAAATTCTATGTACTTTTTTCATATTGATGACTATCCTTTAACCTCCTTTGATATAACACCACCTACAATAACCAGGCCGTCGACAAACTTCCTTTGATCCCAAGTGTGCTTGAATTTGTTGGAATATTGTTTTCCTCTGTAAGTTCACCGTCACTCCTAACATCTCACTTAGAATCTTCTCAGTTGTGGGGTGATTTAATCAAAACCCAAGTCACGTATCATATTTCTAGTCATTAACTTGATCTTCTGTTTCATCCTCTCTCCTTTTTGTTTCCAGTGGTTTGTCTATCGCTATCTCTTGTTCAAACCAGACAGGTAAAAACAGCTCTCCTTCGATCTATGCTGCCACTCTCAGCTTTAAACTACTGTTATTGGTGAAAGAATTGATAAATGAATTCTAAAAACCTCGCGGAATTGGTCTTTCTAATTGGAAAAGAATAACAGTTTCAAAACTGGTTAACTGGTTTATCTTTAATTTGTCTTACAGAGTTTCCTTCTTTTGTATGCAGAGAAGAGTTATTCCTATCAGTGAATAAATCAATATCAGATATCTTGGGTCAGTAACATTAAGAATCGTGAAGGCGCAACTTATGCGAGGGGAAATGTTGGTTTTACATGCGTATGATTTGTGATGTGCTATGCATATACAGTTATGAATATTTAGTATATATTGTGAGTTGGTGTTTGCTTGTACTTTGTATTGGTATCCTACATTCTCGCTCTGTGAACAAGATAAATGCTCATTTCATAAAATTTGTGCAACCAACTGGTTGGTTTTGTGCACGAGCCTTGGCCTGATGGTGATGATGATCTTAAAGCTATGCAAATGGACTGAATCCCAACTAGAAAACTGCTGCTTTAGTAAATATTGTTTTATGCTCTAGCAATCTGAATTTTTTATCAAATGGTTAAAATTTTACAGAGTATTTAAAATGACTTTGAGTTTCTTTTTACACTAAGTTTTAGTGCTAAGCTATGACACCATGGCCATATGATCCCCTATGGACTCAGCGCCTAGGGATGGGGGTTCAGGGGTGTAGGGTTGGGGGGTAGGATAGGGAAGTTGTTGGTCACCGCAGTGGGGGGGGGGGGGGGGGNNGATTATGGGTGGAGGAATTACCGTGGGGCCTAAGAGTACTGGAAATACCTTTGAAGCCTCGGGGCTTCAAAATTTCTCTCGTTTTGAAGCCCCGGGGCTTCAAACTGGGGTTTCAAACCTTCATTTTTTACATTTTTAAATATACATCTTCTAAATTTAAATTAATAAAATGTAATTAATTTATTATTTAAATTAATCGCAATGAGAGTACTGCATTAAAAAATTACATTCATTAAAAAAAATATTACATTCATAAAAAACGGTGGGGTTCTAGTGACACCGGAGTACGGTACTACTAGCGGTGCCACTGGCATTTTGGGGCACCTCCGGTGCTCCGTTCGCAAAATTGACGGTTCCTACCCCCCTAACCCACCCCCTACCATTTTGGGGTAGGGTGGGGGTTTAGGGGGTGGGTTAGGGGGGTAGGAACCGTCAATTTTGCGAACGGAGCACCGGAGGTGCCCCAAAATGCCAGTGGCACCGGAGTGACACCGTACTCCGGTGTCACTAGAACCCCACCGCATAAAAAAATACATTTATAAAAAAAATTACATTCATTAAAAAAATTACATTCATAAAAACTACATTAATAAAAAAATTACATTCATTAAAAAAATATTATATAAAAAAACAACACTACAAAGAAATTACTAATTATTTGAGCGACTAAAGATATGTTCGATCAAATCCGCCGTTAGTGCATTGTGAATCTCTCGGATTCGAATTTCTTGGTGGTTTCTTCGTTTCTTTTCTTTGGTGATTTCTTCGTACATAGTAGAGGTGGCAATCGGATCAACCGGATCGGTTTCGGGTTGGATTTTTTCAGTTCGGATATCTTTCGGTTATATGTTATAATCGGTTCGGTTCGGTTCGGACCAGTTAAATTTCGGTTCGGATTTGATTTCGGTTCTATACATTTTTCGGTTCGGTTCGGTTTCGAGTCGGTTCAGATACGGTTCGGATAGATTTCGGTTCGGATACAATTTGAGTCAGATATATTTTGGTTTCGGGTCTAGTTCGGTTCGGATATATTTCGGTTTCGGATCAAATATATTGTGGATATATATTATTTTCTAATTAAAATTTAACTATCCGTGTTTCTTTTTATGTTTTATCACATTTATCAATCTATCATCAATTCAATACCTCATATTATTTTATATTTTTTTCTACTTATATTATCTCTACCCTAAATAATCTTCCCTTTTTGACTTTTTAGTCATATTTTACAAATTTGGACTACAAATTATGAAAACATATATATTTAATTATGATATAAATTTAATATAATTAAATTGATTTTAAAATTTAGTTTTGAAATATCAAATCTTTCTCACATCTACTAATATACTTATGTATATAAATGAAAGGATAAAAGATAAATTCAAATAGTATTATGTTCCATTTGAATACAATTTGGTAAAAATTGAGTAAAATTGGGTGAAATTAAGTGAATTTTATTCAATTGAGTGCAAAATTTGTAAATTGTTGAGTATATTTGGTTGAAAATAGAGAAATTTAAATTGAATAGAGTCAAATATAATTAATTTTACACCTAAATGTAATGGTGTACATCAAATTTGAAAATGATAACAGTAAAAGCTGCCGCTAAAGAGTCTTTTCAAAATGCTAACAATAGCATCTAATTTTATTGACTAATATTGAGCGAATTAGTTTGAAACTAATCAAATTAACTCTCAAATCAATAAAATTTATTGTAATGAGATGAAATTAGGATAAAATCTAGTTATCCCATACAATTCATCATATATTCCTTTCGTTCCAAAAAGAATATCACACTTCACTATTTAAAAATTATGGAAATTTTATTTGTTTGTGTGTTATCATTTATATGTATAACTTATCTTTACTTTCTACATATAATAAATTTAAGGCATAAAATTTTGTACTTTTTTCAAGAAGATAATCTATTTTATGAGGGAATTAGCAAGTAATGTAATTAGTTCAAATGGTAAAATAAAAGTAAAAAAATTTAAAAATATAATATGTTTATTGAAAGGCAAACATAATTCTGAATTTATCAATTTTAGTTCTAATCGGGTTCGGATATTATCGGTTTCAGATTTAATCAGTTTCGGATCTAATCGGTTTCGGGTTTAATCGGTTCGGATATTATCGATTTCGGATCTAATCGGTTTCGGATTTAAATCGGATATGAATTATTTAGTTCGGTTTCGGTTTGATTAGGATCATTTCGGGTTTTCGGTTATAGATCGGATCTTCATTTTTCGGGTCATTCCGGTTTCGGTTTTGGATATTTCGGTTCAGGTAATCGGTTCCGGTTCTGTTTTGTCAGGTCTGGTACATAGGCACCTCCTCATCCGGGTTGTACTGACAAATCGCAGTCCCGTTGTCTTCTATGATCATATTATGAAGAATAATACATGCGTACATGATATTCCTCATTCTCGTTTGAGAATAACATTTTGACGGTCGATCTAGAATGTGACATTTACGCTTCAAGACCCCAAAGGCTCGTTCAATATCTTTTCTCGCCGCCTCTTGAGCTTTTTTGTAGGTCTAGCGTTTAAGACCAATTGGTCCACGCTTGTAAAGCGTGCCTCTAAGCTCAAATGACAAGTCGGGTGCGGTCTCATAATTAATCCAATTGTCAAAAACAAGCGATTGATCGAGAACGTTGATGTCGTTGTTCGAGCCCGCGACACCAAAAAAAGCGTGCCAAATCCACAAGTCATTTGAAGCAATAGCTTCGAGCATGATAGTAGGCTTGAGATGATCTCCCCGGGAGAATTGACCGTGCCACGCAATGGGACAATTTTTCCATTCCCAATGCGTGCAATCAATACTCCCAAGCATGCCGACAAAGCCGTGTTTAGCGGCATGCCTTGCTTGCAACTGCTGAATGTCGCTCGCTGTAGGCTTACGTAAATATCTTTTATGATAAATTTGAATAATAGCTTTAGAAAATTCATAAACACAGGACCTGATGCTCCGAGCCGACATCTTCAAGTATTCGTTGAACATATCAGATGTCGTCCCGTACACCAACTAACGGAGCGCGGCAGTGCACTTCTGGACACTACTAAACTCGCGTCGGCCTCTCGCATCAAATCGTTGGGTGAACCAAGGAACCTCGCGTTCAACATCGGCGAGTATGCATAAAAAGATAGGATGACTCATCCGAAAACGATTACTAAAATCCTTTGGTGTATAAACACACAGAGTATTAAAGTAGTCGTTTAAAAGTGAAGCATGAGCGGCCGCTCGATCCCGGGTTAAACGTTGTCGTCGGGTCCGTCGTCGGGAGGATTCGGCTTCTTCTTCTTCGCCTTCTTCCCACCATTGAATACAAATCGTGGCGAAACAACGAAAAATGAGAGCTCTTTTTTCATTGTTGGATGAAGATGATCCCATTTTTAAAATATATTTTATAAATATTTATATTAAATAATAAATATTTTAGAGATAAGATAAAGAGAAATGTGTGAGAGAATAGTTTTTTTTAGGGGAATTTATAAGTTTTTTTTTAATTTTGATTTTTTTTTGATTTTTTTTTTTGGGGGGGGGGGGGGGGGGGGG